TCATTTTTAACTACAATCATAAGTTCACTTTGAATTGGTTAAGAAAGACTGTAGGGTGGAAAGAAATTATTTATCCAGGTGAAACTTGATTTACAACTACCTTTATTGTATAAAAAGTTTGCATGATCATAAGGATAGTTTGCAATCTTTGATTACTAGTGGGGATTACAAAAAAATTCTAAGAATAGAGAAAGGGAAAGAGGTGAAGCAAATTGTTTTGGGTGAAAGATTTTAGAATAACTATTTGATTATGGTAAGAATAATGGGTCCTATCATTTGTTTATTGAGTATTTGTGACACTGATGAAACGTCTTCATTGGGTTATGTTTATGAAGGCATGTTCAGAGCAATAAATGGCATCAAAAAGTTGTTTAGAAATAAAGAGAGATTGTACAAGCCTTATATTGACATCATCAATGATAGGTGGGATAGAATGTTGAGAAAAAATCTACATGCTACTGCTTATTATTTGAATTCTACTTTTCAATATGAGAGTGCCACATTTTGTACACATCCAGAGGTTATAAATGATTTGCTTGATTACATTGAAACAAAAATGGATTGGTGTAACCCTGAAAAATTATCACAAAAGGTTGGAATGTATCGAGAAAGGCAAGGGAGTTTTGAGCGCAAACTTGCTATTCTTACTATCAAATCTGATTGGCCAGGTTATTTATATTTTTTTGATATCTAAAAATTGTGAATTTATTCTTTATTTTGGTCTAATATTTTAATATGATTATGACAGAAAATTGGTGGAAGTTATATGGTTGTGATGCTCCGAATTTGCAGAATCTTGCAATTAAAATTTTAAGTCAAACAGCTTCTTCTTCTGGGTGTGAACGTAATTGAAGCATTTTTTAACGCATTCACACTAAAAAAAGGAATAGGTTGGAGCACCAAAAACTTAATGATCCTATTTATGTGCACTACAATTTGCGTTTGCAACATAGGTATAATTGATTTTTTTACTTTATTTTTCAAGGTAATATTAGATTTATAACTAATGTATTTTGTTGTAAGTTTGATCGCCGAAAGAGATCTTATGATCTCATTGACTATGAATCTATTGATAAAATAGAATTTTGGGTCATAGAAGAAGAACAAGATGGTGATATTAATTATGATGAATTGGAGGAAGAACTTGAAGAACTTCCTAAGGATGATTCTCAACTAGTTGAAGGTTGGTTTTTAAATTAACTTGTAATACGAGATGCTAAAAGTGCACTTTTTAGTTTGAATTTTCTTATAAATATGGATAAATCCTTAATTGTTGTTTTATTTATTTATTTAGATGATGAAAGTGAAGTTGGAGAAGATAATGATATTGACTTGGAAGTATTTTAGCGTAGGCGCCTTTTGGATGGTGATGAAGATAATAATTGGTAATATAACATGTTAATTAGTGATGTTTAGTTACAATTAATTTTTTTGTATTTGGTTGTATCTTTGTTTTTTAAATATTCTTACCTTTCTTTTTTGAGTTTGAGCATTTAGATTTATATTTTTGTAACAAACTTTTAACTTTTTCATGTTGAATTGATGAAGTTGTGAAGGTGGTACTATTGCCTTGTGACACCAATGATGGAAGTTTGTTATTCAAATTGTTTGCCTTGAATATGAGTTGGACGCTTTTATGGACTTTTTTTAGGATTGTGAAAGAATGTTAACATTTGTTTTTATTTATTTTTGTATTTTTGTTTGTGATAATTGGTGAACATTAGGACTATATCTATTCATGTTTGTAATGAATTTATGAAAACTTGCGGTGAATTATGATATTTTGGTTATGTTTATCATTCCATTTCATGTATAAATTTTAGGAATTTTATTATTATCTCAACTTAAATTTAGTTTCAAATTATGTTGGTGAATGCATTTTAGGGACTTAAGTTATCAATAACTATGTTGGATTGTCCATTAGTCGTCAAGTTCAAGTGTCGAGTGATGACCTGTGAGTGGTTAGTATTGAAGTCGCACCATGGGTGTAAAAAAAAAAAAATCAATGAACCGATAAATCGATTGGTCAGACCATGAACCGGCCCCTTCTCCGGTTCGCTGACTGGTCCGAGTTTAAAAACATTAGTGACCGCTCCCCTTGAAGAGGAAGAGTTTACTCCAAGTGTTGCAATCAACTTACCAAAAAGGGAAAATTCCACTTTTCGTCCTTAAACTTTGAGATAGGGACACATTTCGTCTTCAAACTTTTAGACGCACCACATTTAGTACATAAATTAATTATTTTGGGCCACATTTAGTCCAAAAATGGTAAAATATTCAATTTGGATAGGGAAGGCTGACATGACTGTTGATTTTGATTGAGAAATTATTTTTACTTAATGGCCACGTGTCAAACACGTGACTTTCTCTGTTCAAATTAAGCAATTTACTGTTTTGGAACTAAATGTGGCAAAAATTAATTAATTCATGTACTAAATATGGAGCGTCTAAAAGTTTAGGGGCAAAATGTGTCCCTAACTCAAAGTTTAGGGATGGAAAGTGGATTTTCCCCTTACCAAAAAGAAGTCACACAAGTGTGGTAAATGATTAGGTGGTTGAATGGGCACAAAATTGATTCAAATGGGCTCAACTTGACACTTAAATAAAGCAAAAATATAAGTAAAATTAGACTGGACAGAATGCTTGTGAGCATCCGAATTTTTTATTTTACTTACTTTTATTTATCTTACTGGCTTATTTAATTATTTATTTATTCGTTTGCTCAAATTAAGTTATTTTATCCATTTTAATTACAATTACATTGTGCATTATTCCGAATTATATTTTAGCACATTTGTTTTAAAAGTTAAATTTTCTGCGACTCAACTAGTGAGAATTAGTGAATACACGTTTTTCGAGGCAAAATTCGGTCTGAGAGTGCAGTGGTCTTGGAGAATTAAGGATGATCAATAGTAGACTAAGAAAAGTTAATTGAGGGATTAGAGGTGAGTGAGTTGAATTAAACTCAATTAGGAGCACTAATGGCCCACTATTCATTAGTTGACTTTTTGCACCAAAGCAACTTTATGTCATTTCTTTCTTGTCATTCCATCACTTCACCAACAACCCACACAAACCCTTTCTTCCCCTTCCCTCTTGGCCCGCCACCCTTCACCCATTTCTTACCAAAAATTTCAGCTTCCTTTTCTTCCATTTGGCTCCCAAAAACACACTCCAATCTTGCACCTTTTCTTGGTTCATCACTCAAGTTTGAAGGGAGATTTGAAGGAGGAAAGAACCTTGGTGGTTTAGAACTTAAACTCTAGTGGCTTGGTTTTCATCTCTTGGAAGTAAGGTAACACTCCAAAGCTCTCATTTTTTTCCTCCAACTTATGGTTAGTTTAGTTAGTTCTAACTAGTTAAACATTGGGTTATTGATGGGTTCATTGAACCTTGACACTAGGTAGATGTCTTGAGGTGGCTTCTTAGGTAGTGGTCTTGAGGAATTGCTTGTTTGGCTGCTGTTTTTGTGAATGAAATCTTGGTTTTGGTAGTGAGAGTTGAAAAGAAAAGTTGAAGAGAGAAAGGAGCGTTCTGTCCGAAATTTCTGTTGGTTATTTCCCTCATGTTAATTTCGAATTTTGTGGTTATTTGGATGCCAAAATGCTTGTTATATGTTGGTGTTTATGTATGTAAATTATCTCCTTAAAAGCATTTCATTTAGTTGAGTGAAAGTTGGGTTAAAGTAAGGAAGAAATCTGGAAAATTGCTTACCAGGTTACCAAACTAGTGTGTACATTTCAGCCCATAACTTGTTGTCCAGGAGCCAAAATCAAGTGCCGTTTATGGCATATGAAACTAGACTCCGAGGGCTTTCCAATGGTATAAAATGAACCTTCTAGTTCGTTTTCTATGAGCCGTAGTGAACCGGCAAAGTTGACTGATTTTCCTCACTGTGTTCATCCGAGAAACAAGTGTAGCTACAGTTTGAAGCTCGTTTTCACTTATCTTGCAAAACGAATTTTAAGATGGTTCCTTCCAATGAATTTTAGCATTTTGAATCTAGTTTCCAATGCCATAGACCACATTAAATTTTGATTTGTGAAGCTTTAGTTATGACCTGATTTATACACTGTGGCAAGTGCTCCAAAACTGGAATTTCCGTGAAACAGGTTCTAAAAATCAGCTTTCCTAAATCTGTTGTATCTTGGAGTAGGAAGGTCCAAATTGAGTTCCATTTGTTGGTTTGGAACTAGACTTGGAGTTCTTTCAATGATATAAATTTCAAGGGCTGATTCTATTTCTATGAATTTTGCCAAATTTTCAAAATTTACTCAAAATGCAAGACTGTTTTGCTCTATTCTTGCTGGAACAGTGAGTTGGAGCTAAAATTTGAATGATTTTGGATTTGAATCTGAGAAAAGTGTCTTCTAGAAAGTTTTATTATATTGAATCTAGTTTCCAACGGTATAAAGTTTCCAATTTTTTGACTTACAAAACTCGAGTTATGATTTTTCCAAGTGGTGTCGCACAAAGCTGGAATTTTCTGGTTTCAAACAAAATGCTCATTTAAGAACTTTTAACTTTCCTTTGAGATTGTTAGGGGGTGCTTGGTTTGAGGGTATGGGATTCAAGATTTGGAATGATGTCCATTTTAAGTGCTTGGATAATAGGTATGGGATTGAAGATTTTGGAATGAATTCTAAAAAGTTGGCAACTCTCCATTCCTGAGTGATTTGGTGGGTTTTGTTAATTCCTATATTTGATTCCAAGATAATTTTTATAAAACATTTTTTTTATCCACTCACCCCTTCACCCTCATCCCGTCATCCTCCCTCTTGTCTTCCCCATCACCTCCCACCACTTGTCTCCTCCTCCATGGCATCTAAAAATTTTTCTTGTTGCCATCACTTAACATCTCAAAAACTTTCACCTTCCCTCTCACTAGTATCACTCCTTTCTCGCCCTCTTTTTTTTTCTTCAATCAAATTAAAGTTTCAATTTTGTGACTTCAAATCAAATGAAATTCGATCGAGACCTACAACAAAAAAGTGGCGGCAGAAGTAAAAAAGCTCGAGACAAATACAAGTAACATGATGGTGACGGCGGACGCAGAAGATTTAGAAGCCGAGCTTGGTGCGGCGCCAGTGGCGGCGCTTGGCGTTGTAGCGGATGGTGTTGTCAATGCGCATGCGGATCCAATAAGGGATGGGCCTGTTCTGTCTCTGCTTCTTCACCAGCTTTTTCTTTATCATGAAGGTCTTGTGGGATGGCATCTCGGTTGCTGGAAGTTGAAGGAGAGCTCCGGTGGGAGGATGGGTTGGCTTCAGAATAGCTGCAGATAGGCTGAAAGCAAGGCGGCCGATGACTGGCGGTTGCTGCTAAAGACCCGTGTGAATGAACCCAACAAAAGAAAAAGATAGGGCAAAAATGCAATAATAATTTTGATACCTATTCCACTAAAAATTGTACCAAGCAGTGGTGATTTCAATGATACCAGGAGCTTATACCCATACTGATTTTTTATAATTCATTTCGTATCCAATTCCAATTCCGGAGCATGAACCAAGCACCCCCTTAGTTTGTTTTAAATTTTATTTCATGGTTGGATACAAGGTCTCTTTGAACATTAGACCTTCATTTTGAATCTTGGTTTCCAAAGGATTAAACCTCTCTTGATGCGTTTCTTGGTTGCCTAACTTTCCTTATTAATTGCACCTCATTTCATACTTGAGAAATGGATTTCAACCCCTAGTCTTATGCTCTTGATTTTCATGAGATTGAACTCTAAAAATGGAGCGTTTTAACTAGAGTAATTCTTGGAGAATTTCACTAGTTTTAAACTCAAAACTTGGAACCTTTAACTTTGACATATACTATGGAAATGAGTGGAGTTTTGATGCATTTTAACTCCATTAGTTTAGAAAATGTGAAGGCTTCTTATATTCTAAAACTTGGGCATAAGACTAGAAGTTTTGAGAGATGAAAACTATCTACCCTTTTCTCGATTTTCGTGCCCAAAGTAAATATGGTACTTTCTTTTGGAACTAAGAGTTCTTGCCAAGACTTGACTCAAAAATGACTTTTGAGTTTTTTTTGAGTATTATTTCAATGATTTAGTGAGAAAAGCTCTTTTAACTTGACTCGGACTTGTAACCTTGAAAGTGGGTAGCAAAAAAAATATTTTTCTTATTAACCTTGGTCAAGTACCTAGGTAATTGTGATTATGCATGTCTCACGTTGTTACGAGGACGCCGAGGAGCTTGTCTGATCTCTCGCTTTGATCTTGTTTTGCTCCTGGCTCTTGATGAGTGTCAAGTGCATGTTCAATGTTCATATGATTGAAATGATATTTGTACAAGTGCTATATGATACGTGAACTTGTCAAGGCGAGGGTGTATTTTACCGCTCTCGTCCTCTCTCTCTCTCTCTTTTGATTGAATGATACTTGTTAAATGAATGTATATGACTTGCACTTGTACTCGAACATGTTTTTACTCGTAAGCACTGAGCGGTAGCATGTACCACACTCTATTCGGGTAGGAGGTGCCTCTCATACCGACTCAGTGCTATGATCGATTCTCTGAGCGGCAGCATTGTATCACACCTTATTCGGGTGGGAGGTGCCTCTCATATCGACTCAGAGCCATGAACAATTCTAAGTCGATTGGAGCATTGTCTCATCGACCAATTATACTTATGGGGACACCCCAACCCATTGGCTAACCTTGTAACTCGAGCCGGCAAGGATTTGGTCGAGAAACTTAGTGAATCTTAGGAAATGATATAGTTTGATCTTTTGAGATCTCGCTTGACATACTCGAATAGTATCGCCACTACATGAATGTTTGGTTTCGGATCTGAGTGGGTGTTATATTGGATGGAGGTAGTAAGTGGAGCGCTACGGTCATGTTACGACTTGATTTGACGGAGGGTCAACCCCAAAGGATTTAAATCGGTCGAAACGTGAAAATAGCTCCTGAGAGCTCTCGTATCCTTCCATGTGTGTTATTTCCTATTTGTACACTTAAATGAAAGTTCATGTTTAAAGTTGCTTTCAACCATGTTATTTGATTGGTTGGTGCTATATGCTTGCTTGCTTAAGTTTTCTTGGCCTCACTGAGCGTTAGCTCATCCCTTTAAGTTTGTTTTTCTTAACAGGCTTTGAAGGTGGAAGTTGGAAGTTCTAGACTAACGACTTTTGGTGGAAACTAGTATATTTTTGTATGTTATTGGAGACCTGACTCACTTAAAACCCAAAACTTACTAGAAAACCACAAAAAATAAAAAAATTAAGGGCAGAAGACAGTCAGGGTTGAGAAAGAGCAATTCCTAATCTGACTAGGAAAGGTAATCGGAAATTGCAGACTGTTTTAAATTCCAAGATTGATCTGTGCCAATTTGTGAAGTAAAATATGTCACCAACTCTTTTTCTCACAAGAAACAATGATTATGAGACCACTTTGCCCCAATTCAATGTATATTTGAACAAAAATGCAAAGTAGGAGGCTATTTCCAAGGAATCCGATTCTAATCTGGAAATGGTATGCAACGGCTATTTTGGTTATTTTCCAGCAATATTTTTCTTACTCTTTGTTTCCAAAACTCAACAAAACAACTTGGTTTGAAGGTTTTGAAGATCAAATTGTGCTGGTTTCATAATTTTTGTTCAGTGATTTCGTATAAACAGCCCCTGCAATATGTAGAAACAAAGGATTTTTTTGTTTTTTTAGATTTTCAAGAACTTCAAGAAACGAATCAGGGTTTTTAAGAACTTCCAATATCTTCAAGATTTGATCAATGGTTTCAAGAAACTTCAAGAATTACCCAAGATTAGTCCGCAAACAAAGAAGGCAACTTCAAACAACCAAGAAACGAAATAGATAGCTTGGGCAGAAAAGTAACACACGACTGGATTTTTTTTTGTTATAAATGATGAAGCAAATTCTAACAAGACAAGACGACAAGGAGACAACCAACAAACAATGATACAAGACACAAGACAAAAACAAACATGGCTGGACAACAAGAATTATCAAATGACAAGTGAATTATAAGGGAGGCCAACAAACAGAAAGACAATTAATTCAAATGACAAACAAAACTTGAAGAAAACAACAAGAAGTTGACACTAACAGCCAAAAATAGAAGAAAAAAAACATATATAACCTAGTACGTCAACCAACTCTGATACCAGATGATACGAACCCTATCAAAAATGAAACCCGTATTTCACAAACCCTAAACTTAGATGATTTCCCAAAGCTTGAGTAGCGGAGAGAACCCTTAGACCCCACTAATCCCCAAGTTGTGATTTTACAACTAACAAATTAGCGAACTCGGTTTTGGTAGAAGGCACCACAATCAAGTGCGTTTCTTGATTGATAAAACCAACGAACACTAGAGCCTAATTCTAAGTATTCAAAAGAAGCTTGCAACAAGCCTTAAGAGAAAAACTCTCAATTTTTTTATTAAAAAGAAAATCAACTCCCCCTAAATGTTTACAAGATAAGGCTATTTATAACCTTAAAACCCTAAATCCTAAATTAACATAGAATGACTTAAGTAAAAACAATCCTACCTTGACTAGGAAACCAATCGGCCTTATTGAGCAACAAAGTTGGCCGTTAATTTTAGCTACTAAGAAACAATGAAAATAATTATTTAAACACTTTAATAATGCTGGCCAATAAAAAGGAAATAAATGACTCCAACGACCAACTTTGTCTCCAAACTTCATCCGATGGTTTTTCCTTTACTTCCTTCCATTTGAATAGTTTGAGTATGAAAGTGTTGTCACATGAGCAATCGAACTTGAGCTTGACGCGAACAAGAGAAATAACCTTTGACCTTGGACTTGAACCTTGGATTGTATCATATGTCATAAATATTGCAGATAGCCATTTAAGACAAATGCCAAAATTACAACAACCATTAGGAGAATATAACTAATTATTAATTAAAAAAATCAATACTAACTCAATTTTAGTAAGCAAAAGAATCGAATTATGCTTAACTTATGTATTTGAATATTAAAAACAAAATTTACACAAACATAGTGTGTAAGAAATTATTTTAAACCCCTATAATATACTAATTTCTAGAAACAATATTGCCCACATGATTAGATCAAAAAGAATAGATAGCATAGACAAAAAGCCTAACTTAAGTTGGACAATATTGTAACAATACTTAGATTCTAATTGATAACCAGAAAAAATAGGATCACAGTAAAAATAAATAAATTCAGTGTTTGAAAATAGAAAATTCAAAAACATATAGAGATCATGTGCATGCTCACTTTCGAGAAAGGATCCTCTAGACCTCCAAAAGCATCCAATGAGTATTGGGTTTTTAACAAGCTTAACCTCTATTGCTTTTTCTCTTGAAATTCTATTGAGGAAAAAATTGAGAGAAAACTCTCATCATGTTGTAAGATTTGGTTGATATGTCAAGAAAATTGAAGATAGAGATAAGAGTAGAATCGTATACAAATGAGGATCAAGTGGTGCCAAAAAGAGGTATCAAACTCCTAAAACTAAAAGGGACTAATATCAATTGGTATTTTTCAAATTTGTTATTTGGTCTTATGCTTGCCAACATTAGTTTTGGCAAACAATCGTTTTTGACAGGGGGTCCAAACATAGTCTTTTGAAGTTTGGCAATGTAATGGTAGTTTAGTTAAATTACGAGGGGTGCAATTATAGTTAACCCAAATAATAATACAATTAAAACTTGTTTGCTACATTAGATCAACTTTAATGGTTTGTAAGAGATAACTTTAAAATGAATGTGAGGCTATTATGTCAAGAAACATAAAACAAACAAAAATTGTATTGCGCCATAACCTTTTGAATGAAAGCTCAGCCAATAGATGTAGAACAAAAAATCATTTTATCTTTTCATCTTCTATATCAATACTTTGACTATTTCTTTTGTAGGAAAGATTTTTCGCCACTGATCAAATTTTCCCTTTATTTGAAACAGAGATTCCTTTTGTTGAAACAATGGTTTCACCAACTTCCTAAGTCTGAGAAGGTTTTTAGGGGGTTGGGGTTGGTGTTGGTTCTGTTATTATATCTTAGAGTTATCAATTCTTATTTTTATGGATTTGGTATTCTTTTCCTCTCTAATTAGTAAATGTCTAATTAATTCATCTCTAATGCAATATATTTATTTTGGAGATTGTAATTGCTTTTCTAATTGATAGAGCATAAAAAGATTCTACAAGCAATTGGACCACTTCCCAATGGTTGACATATTTACCTGTATTCTA